AGGGTGGGCGGGTGGGTGGGGGTGCAGACACTGTAGGCAAGTCAGCTTTTCCCACGCCGGCTCTGTTCCCCTCATTATAACGCGTACCACACACTCCTCCCCACCTTAATTAATTAAGCTAAAAATATCTGGTTTATATGGCACTCTGCCAGACCCCCATCTATCTCTTGCTTTGCTTGAGTACAAATTTTGTTCCCACCCCAAATCCTTCAGCAGCTCTAACCCATCCACCACATACACTTCACAGAACTGAGTTCTACGCAAGTGCATCTCAGGAACGAAATATTTATGGCGTTGGGGCTGTAAACAGATCGTAAAGAAACTCCGAGCTGAACTGTCTTCCGATGCCCAGCACTGCAGGCAGAGCGAATTTACCGAAACCAGAAGTCCCACAAGTTCAAATGAAAGAAGCAAGAGTGCTTGAGAGTACACGAATCAGAGACGTGGAAAGGCATGATTCATCCAGCCTTCGAAATAACAAGAAATTGTGTTCTTGAGAAAGAATGAGAAACCTATTAAGTAGGTTTTAAAGAAAAAAGTTTTTGTAAAGGTTTTACAGCACTTGCAACACATTAAGGTCATATAAGTGCCGAAGATTAGATGTGTTACAAGAGAGTAACGAACACAAAAAGAAAGAGGGTAAATCAGGATGATAGATGTTTGATAGGAAAGAAATGGTGAGCAAACCACACCAGAGCACCGGCCAACCACCCACCTAGGTAGGGTGTTTGGCATCTCGTTAGTACCCACTATTATGACCTTCTAATACATAATAACGATTACTAAAACAGTTAACAAATAACCACCATTACGACCTAGTTTACATGCCCAATAGGCAAACAAATTCATTGCTTCCCTGATAATCATCTTCAGGAAATCTTTTTTTCTCAGCATTAAGAAAGAAGAGAGCTCTGTCTCATTTGTGGCAAATTAAGAACATAGAATTTACCTGTCCTCAGGCTCTCAATCTGTTCTCCTCATCCCCTCTCCCCTTCCTAACAAACCTTTAAATTACCACTTTGATTAAACGAATCTGCTCTCAGCATAAATACACAAAACCAAAACCAAATGAAGGTAGCCCCCCCCCTCCCAAACC